CCCCACCCCACCCCTCTGCCCTTCCACCACCTCCCACTACCTCCAAATCCCCTCATGGTAGCCCTTGTCATGGGGATGAGCCCCCCAATTCCAGACCTCCCCAGCTCACTTTGGCCTCCCACTCTCTCTTCAACTTACAAGATCCTCCCCTTACCCCCACCCCGACTTCTCTTGCGTCATGAAGAGTCCCCTGCATGCTCACCCTCTCCCCCTACCCGCTCTAGCTCCCAGCACCTCCTCTGCTCAGAAGAACCCCCCTTCATAGCTCCCCCAAACTTCCCTTCTTGGTAACACCCCCAGAACTGCCCTTTTATTTCACCTGTGCTGGAACATACACTGGACACTCATTTTCCTTCCAAATTAAAAAAAAAAAATCCCCTCTATAGAGAGTGCCCCTTAGAAAAACTTGATCCACAAGACTACAACTCTCAACTAGGAATAATGGCCCATTCTGCACCCCACCAAGTGTCCACTCGTTTCCCTCTCCCACAGCATCCCACCACCGCACCCCCTGCTCTGACTTCTCCACCTTACCCCAACCCTCTTTCCAGGCACGTGTCCCTTACCCGCTTTCACCACTCACTCTTTCCTAGACTTCTTCCCCAAACCTGTTATAGTTTAGAGCCTGGAAGCCTTAGAGGTCGGGGTGAAAAAACAGTACTGGGTCCCAGCACCGGGGTGACCTTGGCCACTTCCTCTCCCATCAGCTGGCCCCTACTAGGTCTGTCCAAGGAGGGGTGCTGGAAAGGTTGTCTAGGGGGGTGTCTCCATGGCAACTGAGCCTAGTGCCCTACACGTGTGTTCCCTCCTCACCTCCACTCCCGCCTGCCCACGCACAGCCCCTGCCCCGGCCCCATTCACCAGTGCACCGGACCCTGACATCCCCAGCCTCCCTCTCCTCAGTTCTGACCCCTTCCTCTCGTTCCCCTCCAGAAAGATGCTGAGTTTCCTCTCCCCTCCATCTCTCGGCCTCTCCTCCTCGCATCTGTGCCCCCTCACCACCAGCACCACCGCCTCCACTGTTCTAGCAAATTTCTGCCTCCACCCGGGGTGATCCTGTGACCCCTGGCTGTACCCCTTCCCCTCCTGGGCCCCCTACAACCCGGGATAAGGAGGGGATGGGGAGAGAAGGAAATGAGGGAAATTCTCCATCAAATAAAGATTCGAAGATCTCTTCACGTTGTCGGTTTGGGGGCAACCCTGGTTTTAGGGATTCTTCCTTTAGTCCGTCCGTCTGTCAGTGACAGCAAAAAAGGAGGGAGCAGGGGACCCCAAATCCTAACGCTTAGGGATATGAGAGGGGTCACCATCCCTTCTCCCTCTGAAAGGGACCAGCTCCTTCCTCTAGAATTAGGGGGGTCACGGAACCTTCATTCCTCATCCACCCACCTCCGATTAATAAAAAAGATCTGTCTCACCTCTTAACGATAGGTCAACTCTCCGATGCACAGGGGAGGGGACGCTGAGCCCCCTGTCGGCACCCCCCAAGAAGAACCCTCGTGGCTCCCAATTCTCACTGCTCCCCCTCCCCCAGCAGCGAGGGACCCAGGCGTCCGACCTGGTTGGGGGGTGGAGATGAGGAGGCTTACGGGGAATGGGGCTGTCGAGGTGGGAGAGGAGGCTGAGGGGCAGCTCTGAGCTTGGGCCCCAAGGTAGAGGGGGTCGGGATGGGGAAAAAAAAAGGTGAGGAGACAATTTGGTTCTCGTGTCGCTGGGTAAAGTGCGGAGCTGGAGGACGAGAGAGGGAGGGAGGAGGGGAGGGAGGGGGAGGGGAGGCCGGCTGAGAATGGGGGAGCCACGGAGAGGAGGATGGATGGGGGGAAGGTAGTGATGGGGGGGGAAGGGTCTGGGTGGGCAGAAGGAAGCTGGGGAAAAAGAGAGAGACCCAGAGAGGGAGGGAGAGAGACAGAGCCAGGAGAGGCGGAAAGACCGAGATCCAGAGTCGGAGAAACAGAAATGGGGGAGGGAGAAATTTGGGGGAGGCAGCGGCTGGTAGCAGAAGGAAGTTGGAGAGAGAGACACACACAGAGAGAAATATCCAGAGAGAAAAGGGGACAGAGACAGAGACAGAAACCCAGAGGCTGGGGGAGAGATGGGGGATGGGGAAAGATTGGGGCGAGGAAGAGGATGGGGGGATCGGGATCTGGGTAACAGAAGGAAAGAAGAGACAGAGAGTCATCCAGAGAGGGGGAGGAAAGACAGATGGGGAGAGACAGACAGAGACTGAGAGGATGGGGGAGAGAAGGAAAGAAATAAAAGGGGGAGAGAAATTGGGGATGGGGCAAAGGTCTTAGAGAAGAATTCGAGAGAGAGAGAAAGAGAGAGGGGGAGAATGAAAGAAATTTAGGGGAGAGGAGTCTGAGTGGCATTGGGTTCCTGGAGACAGAAAGGCAGGTGCAAAAGGAAAGAGAGAGGTCCAAAGAGAGAGACAGATGGGGAGAGACTGAGACTGGAGGGGAGAGAGACCCAGGGAAAGAGAGACGGAGGTAGAGACCGAGGAGGCATTAAAAAGAAATTGGAGAAAAATAAGAGGGGGGCCAGGCTCAGCTGAATGAAGGAGGTCAGAGATAAAGGATACCCCTGCCTCCTCCCTGACCCACATCCCCAGCCCCTGATCCCTACCCCCATCCCCATTTCAAAGCCACCACCCCCACCCCCACTAGCCTCCATCTCTCCACAGCATCGCTTGCCGCCGCCACCGCCTCTTCCTGTCGTCATAGCAACAGGATCCAGGCGCCCAGCCAAGGCTGGCAACAGCGGCCGGAAATGAGGGGAGGGCCTTTTTAAAAGGACCCTAGGAGCTTTCCCCTTTCCCCAAATCCAAAGGGAAGCTCCACCTCCCCGGGCCATCCCACCATCCCCCTCACCCCTACTGAAGTGGCAAGGACAAAGATCCCCTGAAAATAAAATTATATTACATTAAACTTAGAAGGATAGCAAGCCTTTTGAATTTCACGAGTAATTTTTTTTCCTTCTTACCCTCTATCCACCCCTTAGCTCAAAGAGTTAGATTCCCAGAAGACGGGGATGAGAGTGAGGAGAATAGTAGAATGTGAAAAACTTGAGTGGAATAAGTTTTAAAGAAGTCTGTTGGGGGTTGGGTCGGAGGACTATATCTAGAGGGTTAGAGAAAAATAGATTTGCGAGGTTTAGAGCTAGCCAGTGGGTAAAAGACGGGCAAACTCGAGGTGGAAAATCTGAGATGAGAGAAAGTTTGGTCTTGGGTTCAGACCTGAGAGATGCCTGAAGCCCCTGTGTGGCCCTGGCCAAAGCATTCTCTCTCTTCTGGACTCAGTTACAAGGGGGACAAAACTGTCTCTGACTAAATGAGAACATTGCTGAGGAAAGGTCTTTGCACACTGCTCTCGACAAAGTTATTTCAAGACTGTCTTCAGGGTAATGCTATAGAAAACTAAAAAGCTAGCCATCAACACAGACTTAGGGTAGGGATTTTGCATGCTTTCACTTTCTCGTGCAGTTTTTACAGAATCCTTGCAATGTGGACATTGATGTTCCCATATTATAGATGAACACACTGAGGCTTGGAGATGTACAGTGATTTGCACATGATCTCCAGCATTGGCAATGAAACAGACCCTTCGTGGGGAGTTGCCAGGAATGATCAGCAATAGATGAACTTCAAAGCCACTCGACACACCAATCCTGTGTCAGCCTCTCCCTCTTGGGGGCTGGCAGAAGACAGAGAAGACCTGTGTTCCCCACACATCCAATTACCTCCCCCAGAGGAGCATCTCAGATTTCCACTGGAATTTCCTTAGGTCAGTTGACTTCATTCTCACCATGCCCCACGGGGGAAAGGAGTTTAGAGAAGCATTCTGACACCTTTGATTTAGAAGCAAAGAAACACTAGCCTCAAGGGAAGGGGCCTAGAATTCATTCATTTAAGAAACATATTTTTTGAGAGCCACTGTTCTTTTGCCGGGCAGAAGGATATAGCGGCGAACAATAATGCTAATTGATGTAAACTGAGTGCCGAATGTTAGAGACTGTAAGTGATTTGTAGACATGGACTAGGTCTTCTGGGTTCTGTTATTATCAGCCCCTATTTTTTTGGGGGGGGAGGTAATTAGCTTTATTTATTCATGTTTAGAGGAAGTACTGGGGATTGAGCCCAAGCCCTCATGCGTGCTAAGCATGTACTCTACCACTTGAGCTATACCCTCCCGTCTTACCAGCCCCCATTTTAAAGATGTGAAAACTGAGGCTGAGAGAGGTAAGCACATAGGTAGGAAGTAAAAACAGTGGGAATTAGAGTCAAAGCTTTGAAATTCCAGAACCAGTGCTATTTTCACTGCTTCTCTGTTCTTTGGTGGGGTGAAGGGAGTGTTTATATCCGAAATGGGGGAACTATAAATAAATAATAACAAAAACAGATACTTCCAAAGGGTGAAAACAACATGAAGATGACAAAATTAACCAGGGTTTCTAAACCTCAGGACTATTGGCATTTGGGCTGTGTAAGTCTCTGGTGGTGGGAGGGCTGTCCTGTGCATTGTAGGATGTCCAGTGACACCCCTGGACTTTACTCACTAGATGCCAGTAGCAAGGGATTACAGTAAAAATAATTCAATCTGTTCCACCTCAAATACTGTTCCTTATTGGAAGTCTTTTAATATTTTCAGCTGTTTCTCCTCTTACTTGTTTTTACATCCCTAAATAATAATTATCTTCTAGATGTGTCAACATTATACACTGTAGATTTTTTTCTCTGATAAGTATTTAACTCATGTAGATCTCATTTTCCCTGCCTTCTTCCCCATATAGGTATATTTAGTTCTTCTACTGGTTAATCTTGTGATATTAAGTAATAGACTTAAATCATGTTTCCTTCTTTTAGAGGGCATATCTCTTCTTTTCTTTTCTTTTTTTTTTAACAGAGTTTTGAGACAGAATCCACATACCAAGAAATTCACCCACTTAAAGTGTACAATTCAATGGCTTTTAACTATAGTCATAGAATCATGCAAGCATCAACATTAGATCCATTTTAGAACATTCTCATTAGCTCAAGGAGATATTATACACCCCTCAGCCAAGCATCACCCTCAATCTCCCCACACACCCCCACCCAGCCCTAGGCAATCACTAATCTACTTTCTGTCTGTATAGATTTGCTGATTCTAGACAATTCATATAAATGGAATCGTACACGTTCCTTTGTGATAGGCTTCTTTCCCTTAGCATGGTGTTTCCACTTCTGTGTTATTACTTCATTTCCTTTTTATTGCAGAATAATATTCCATTGTATGGATATACCACATTTTACTTATCTATTGGATATTTGGGTTACTTCCCACATTTTGTTTATTATGAGTAATGCTGCCATGAACATTTGCATACACCTTTTTGTGGTTAC